TAATCACAAATAATCGCATCTTGTTACCACATTACGCTCTCTCGCCGTACAATTAATGTACAAATACTATATAATCTAAACTTTCGCGAATAAAGATAGAAGCAATTAGAAAAAAGTTCACTATTAAATCGTGTTGACTTAAATCTTAAAAGTTCTTAAAACTCAAACCATTTTCGTCTCTTGATTGTCTTTCCACAAAAGTTTGCCGAAAACATTAAAAATGATTTAATTAAGGTGTCAAGTGCGCGTTTCGCGTTTGAGGATCGATAATATGAGCCAAAGTTTAAATTTCATTACAATAATATCAATTATCGCTTAAATTTATTATGTCGATGAAATTGCATTCGATATTGATTGCAAATTTATTATTTGAAATAAATTTACAATCAATAATATATAGATGTATATATATTCATTTAAGTAACAATAAACGCTTATATCACTTGTCGCTTCGAGTTTGTAGGCATCGATAATAAAACATTTTAAGTACAAAACGTAGAAGATCGGCTTGGTAGTGTCATCGTTGATTTCTGCATCGCGAGGAGACCATGATAAATGCAGTCTCTGGATCGGTTTTTAGCGAATAAATTATATACGCGCGATAAGCATGAAACAGGAATCGAGAAGCGCGCAAGAGACGCGATGGTATTTACATATATTATGTCTTTTTTTTTGTGTTAATGTTTCGTGTAGAAAATATCGTCGATGCACGTATAAAATTAATTTGAGCTTTATTGCGGTTTGTATCGCACCAACAGGTGGAATGTTCAATATATTCTCGGAAAGCATCAATTGCCAAACAGTCGTCAAATGCAATGATAAAGAAGTTATAAATAAATTTCTGCGAACGAAACGGATTATACACAGGCGTAAACCGATGATGATATAAGCTCCCGCGCTGGTCTTTAATCAATCACCTGTGCCCAGTAATCATCTGATTCCGGTTGATGTTATAATCAACATTTTAAAGCATACGCCTTCCTTCGTAACTCTAGATTCGGTGCAATAGCAAGTGAATTTTACTTACGTCATCTCTCTAGAGTTAAAAAAATTTTGTAACATTATTAATTATTAAATATATTAGTAATTATTAATTTAGCTCCGGATTAGTGGCCACGAGTCAAGCTTGCTCACTCGAAGTAAAATTCGTAAAACAACAGTTTTTAGGAAACAAATTTTACTCGTCGCTACCAGTAATAAATAAAAAATAACTTATCCAGGGAGCAATGTAGAAAAGCGTATTCAACGTGTGAAATAATTCCCGCGTTAGATAAGTTTGGAAATGTTAGATTGATAAAAAAAATTGTTCGTTCTTTTTATCAGTGAGTCAAGAGTCAAAAGAACGAGCGACTTTTTTTTTAATCAATCCATGTTATTGCGTAAGACATCCTGATCATAATAGGGCAAGACAAAGAAACTTTGCGCCCTCGAAAGCGTCGCGGTGCGGGATCGCGGCCTTGAAGACTAGCCGTTCGACGACCTCATTCGGCTCATTCACGTGGAACAGCTGATGCATGTCGGCTCCCGGGCCGAGTCCTGAGTTCGTCTCGTATAGACCTTCAGTAATTGGCAGTGTACCCTGCACAAATATTTAATAGCATGAGGTAGTGTTTCCTGTGCAAATTTAGAGGCGCTGAACCGCGGAATGCTTCATTTCGCCTTATAATTACGCGATTAGCGTCGCACAAGCATCACGTGGAGGCACAGCTATTAAGTATGTCTAAATTGCACGCGCGTAGCACACGTACGCAAGTTTTAGATAAGATAAAAATTCGAATGGGGTGTTAATATAGAAACTAACGCGGCGCGGGATATTCGATAACGCGATCGCTATCGCCTGTTATTTACTTGCCTGATTTTCACATTGGTGCTGTCGATCACCTCGCCGTCGCAGTTCCACACGCTGAGCCGTGAGCTCGAGCGGGCTCCCGCGTTCAACCCGTTTTCGAATTGCAGCGTCGGCAGGGCGCGGAATGTAAATTCTCTCGCCCGGTAGACCTCGACGAACGGTAGCTCGTACTGCAACAGAATTACAAACCCAGTGTGATTTTCACCTCAACTTTTAAGATCAGTGCATAATTATAATCTAAATATAGCGTATAATTATATATTTTATAAATAATAATACATATAGAAATAAATCTTATAATATATATAGGTGAATTAGATATTATATATATGTATAATTATAGTATAAATAATTACAGTATAATATACTAAAAATGTTTTACTTGCATAATCTTGATCTTAAAATATTTCAGAATTATACATCGCGATAAACGGATAAAGCATAGTACTGTAATTTCGCAAAATTGTCTTTTGTTCTTGATAATTCATCAAACGTAAGTTTTTCGAAATGACCTTGTGTCATATCATAATTACGAACGGAATTTTTTGCTACCGTTTAAACTGAACATTTTAACATCTCCGCTGCTACTATAAAAGCATTATAATACTTCCTCAGGTGTCGTGCATAATAATGACATTTAAAGAATGACTTGTTAAGACCACGGGTGACGCACATGGTACACGAATAAAAAAACATTCGGTGTATATCAATGATGCACACGGCAAGGTGCTAAATGTCTATGAACGGTGATTGACATAGCAAACATAGCCATTAAAGTGTGAAGCAAAAAAATGAATAATTGGCGATAATTATTCGAATACATGGTTGGAACTCGCGCGTACCAGAGTCTTTCGTTTGCTGGATAGCCTGAGCAATAATCTGATATTGTTTATCAGAGATGTGTGTCGAATTAAGATCACGTCCACGCAGCCGTCGCCCACGTGACAATGAGGACTGAAACCCATAGGACTCCTCGAACACGCGCACGACACGTTCGCGCCATTCACCATGAAGAACTTCCCTCTGACCGTCACCCATCCTACACAAAGATATAAAGCATTATTCGCTTAATTCTAGCTGGTTTTGTAACTGCATTATGTATTGATTTCTGTTCTCTCATTTTTTAATACTTACTGGAGATTTCCTTGTCGGGGATGCTGTGCATATGCTGCAGGCAGCGTAAGCAGTTCTTCATGCATCTTGTGCTTCCCGCTGGGTGACATGGGTCCGATAGCAGCTCGATCTCACCCTCGTAGCCCTTGTTTGCTAATATCTTTTTAAAACCTATGAACGAAAAGATCTAATTAATCTAATATCAACCCCATATCCATATTTGTACACAGAATATTTTATCACTTATCACATCAATTATATATAAACATATGTTTGTTACAATACAGAAAGTCAATTGGTATTTTATTATTTAGTTTCTTATTCAAGTTACTTATTCAAAATTTGATAGATCAAAATAGATTAGTCAGATTATTACACAACTCGAATCGAACAATTAGACTTGATCAGCTTCGCTCAATGAAGGTCCACCGCATTAAATTACACAATCAAAAGACTTGGGGACTCCTTACCAGACCAATCGTATCTACGGGGTCCCATCCAGCGGAACTTTTCGCTGTCGCGGATTACGTCGCCCAGATAGCCGTAGCTGAGCACGCTGGCGTAGAGCCTGAGCAAGGTGCGATTGCTGTGAACCGCTGAGATGTCTAGACCGATGGAATCGCCGAAGATGATATGTATGGCGGCAGTCTCCACGTCGGTGGTGCCGTGCAGACTGTAGGCGACCGTGTCTGTGCTACCGCTGGGTATAACACCAACAGGTAAGGCGGGACCGGGCAGCCTGGCGTCAGGGTCGTTGGGATCAATCTGCTGATCTTTCGCCGCCCTCAGAATCAACCCGTTGAACGCCTCGGCGAACGTACCATCACCGCCGATGCACACCACCGCCTATCAAGCGCGAAAAGTTAAATTTGAGGATAGCGTGAATCTTTTAATTATGTATAATGCGAAGCATTTATACGTGTTAAAAAATGTTTGTATATCCATTATAAAAACCGGAACATCTTGATAATTATCTAGAGACATGTAATTTAGAGATGTGTTCTAGATACGCTCTAAATATATCGTAAATATTTAGAAACTGACACTCGATTTTCTGATTTGATATGTATAATTAACATATAAAGATAATATTTTTACTACATAAACCGCAACCAAATTTATGGATTTACATTTTTGATAATTAGTGTTTAGTGTAAAATTATCCTAGATTAGTAAATAGATAATTATCCTAATATATAAAATAATAATATAAATCTAGTGAAAATTGTTGAACAATTTTCCTAAACAGTTTTCTAGATTTGCGCAATGCATTTATTTGCCGAGTTAGAGCGTTTGAATCCGGACTCCACATGAAAGTAATAGAGAATGTTAGACTTGCAAGAACAGGACTCACATGTAGGTCACTCAAGTCGGCCGTGAGCAGAGCGTCGCGAATGTGGCCGGCACGCTCTGTGACCATCATCTTTGTCTCGATGCCAGCGATGGTCATAAGCGGCTGGACATCCTTCTCCCAGATCTTGACACCTTTTTTCTTACCGCCTATGGGATTGATGAACAGCATCACCTTTCGCGGCCGACACGACAGACCTGAAACGATCAACTGCAAATTAAAAAAATTCAGATCCCCCTTCTAACTGTAAGAACTTTTTGCGCCTTAGCCTTTCAATCCCCCGAATTCCTTTAGATAATTAAATTTGAATCTTTACAATCGCCTTTGCTTCTATGTTAAGAAACTATACTACATATCAATATGTGATTATCCATAAGCTGTTTTAATCGTTTGACTGCATTATACAATATACTCCGACCGATGTAATGTTGCGCTGAGTATGACCCAAAAAAAAGGTTGAAATGCTAATTATAGCTAACGCTAATATATAGTTTATTAACTTTAGCATAACAGCCAGAAAGTGGAAGCTAACGCTAATATAACATCATTTCCTCTTTTATTTGTATACTTGATAATAAAATATATTGCGCCCTAATTACTGCGCCTGACTCTTATTGTCAATTTTGTTAATCTTATTCGATTTAATCAAATTTATTTCTTTTTTATATCATGCAAAAAACTAATTACAGAAAAAAACTGAAAGAAAATTTAGAAGAATTAAAAGCAATGTCTCTGTATATGTACAAGTCATAGGTACTATATAACTTATCGTACTAGTTGATAAAAAAAACCCTTTCTTTCTTTTAAAGAACGGACATTGTCAGATTAGTAAAACGGACGAAGTTTTTTAATCGACTTCCTCCCTTCTTCGTCGCGATTTAATCTTCGCAGTTTAAAAACGAAAATGGGTCAAATGGAGACTCGGAGGAGGAAGGCAGTAGGACTTTAATCGTGTAAAGTGTCCCGATCAATTTGCCTTACGGCACGCGACGCAGCGTCGATAATCGAACAAGAGTTTTTTTTCGCGGAAACGATGATTACATGAGCACGGAAAACCCCCAGACCCCCAGATCAATAGTATAGCTGTTGACTCGCGACGATGCCGCGACGGCTGGGACGGCCTGTATGGCCGCATCATTTCCTTCAGCGGCGGTCTGGGTGGCCACTGACCACTGATCTCATGGTGGGCCAGTCTCGCACCGCCATTAGGGTACGTCGCTGGGTATGCCGGTACATCCTGTACCTCAGCTCCCGCCAGAATCCTGGGTGATCCCGATCCACTGTAAGCAAACGGTGGATAAGTGCCATGGTCGTCTTGATCCATTGTTCGCGAGATCGAGGACAATTGTGATAGCCTAAGCCTAGGAAAGCATACTCAAAGCGTGAGTCCCAAGAATCACCTCTATCAAGTTACCCCCCCCACCACTTGATAGAGGGGGGCTAACTTAGAGGTGATTCTTGGGCTATCACAATTGTCCTCGATCTCGCGAACAATGGATCTAGACGACCACTTGTTCACACGATGGATCCACCGTTTGCTTACCTCTATCAATTGATGCAGAACGAATAAGTGTGTAGTATCAACACAGCAGTCGCTCAGTACACGTGACAAAGTGTATTATGTTTTACTTCCACACACGTTAAACGCACGTCGAACACACTTATTTTTTGTAGTGATACCTCTATCAATTGATAGAGGTATGGCCGCAAGAGATCGCGACTCGCGATACCGTGAAGCGACGTTCTACGCTCGAGGACCATCTGGGAGTGCTCCCGAAAATCCTCTCGATAGCGGAATCGATGACACGCCTCCCCCTCCCCTTGGGCGCGATAGCGCGGGCTTAGGGGTGAGCTCGCAGGTTCGCGACATATCCTTCCGCAGGGCTGTCAACCACAAATCCCGCAGAGCGCTTAATGGCCCTCGCTCGCGCGGCGATTTCCCAGGATCCTTCTCGGCAGCGGACGGGATACTGCTTCCCCGTATTCCTCTCTCTCGGTCCGGGGATGGTGGCCATCCGCCACCCCGGAGTCCGGTCTGCGATGGGAGTAGCAGGTAAAACTCATTCAGCCCCGGCGCCGGGGCCCTGCTTTCGACGGGTCCGCCTGCTGCGGTATATCACGCGCCGCGCGCGTGTCCTCCTGTCCTGTGCCCCTTCGCGCTCGACGCGGCGATGGTCGATAGGGGTAGTTTAGAGCACACCCAGCCTATTTTCTCGACATTCATTAAAATTTGTGCTCTCTATCTCTCATTCTTTCTCTCTCTCCCTCTCCCTATCGGGGCTAACGTACAGCATCGCTGTCTCTTAAGCGAGCCGAGAGATCGTGTCTCGCTTAATTCGTTTTGCAACGCTCCAAAGCGGAGCAGCAATTCAATTTAACTCGGGAAATCTAGAAACAGCGAAATGGGAGAAACTTGCCGAAACACATGAATCACACGAATGGCGAAATTAGAGAATATGGGCAGCAACGTTCTATTTGGAATATCTCGAAATTCGTACTTGGCGAAATCGACAAGCGTATAGCAACGGTCTTCAATTTGGAAGCTATTGAAACTTGTAAATAACGAAAATCGGAGAGCGAAACGGTAATTTGATTCGGAAACCCTATCGAAATCCGCGAAATTAAACTGATTCGCGATAAAACTTTCATGCCAGCCGCAATTAATTAGTAGCCGGCTACGCTGCGCTATCAAAGTTTTAGGGTCACAGCGTATATTTTCGTGGCGCAGACCTTTCATCGCGATTTACGTCGCTTCCAACTGGGTTAACACTAACCGCCTAAACTTCGCATACTACGTTTCCGGTTATAATTGTGAAAAAATATTCATATAGAAAAGACAGCTGTTTATTGTAGAAATATTTTGCTTTGTAATGTAGTAATCATCAGTAATTAAAGGCTTATCTTAAAATCTTATCTCTTTAACTTATCTTTGAATATAGTTAAGATATATATGTCAGTGCAAATTAAAAGCTTTATATAATATCTCTATTACACACACGTACACACACACACATACACACATAATGGAAATATTGTACTTATATAAAGCTTTCAGTTTTTTACTTTATTTTACTTTATATATGTAATCTCTATTTTTTAAAGTATGGCTTTAATTGAGGTTTAAGATTATATTATAATAAGTTGGATTAAGATTAAGGTAATTTAGAAATAATATCTTTAATTTAGTGTAACTTTCTTTTTAATTTATCTTGATTTAATCTTTCTTAATTTTCTAATTACCGCAATTTTGTCTATATTTTTAAGATTAAGTGATTTTATTCCTCCCTAGTATTTTCCTAAGCCCGAGTTGCTTCTTGTCTAACAATAAGTAAAAGATATGTTAATATTATGTTTACACACAGTGCCACAATGATATTAGCGACGATGCAAGCAAGAGCTAGCAAATTCTCATTAATTTATGCGTCACGTTGATTCTTTGGAATCAAGTTTGATCGACTGTTTTCCTCGTGTCTTTTTTTATGCGCCTTTTTTTTATTCAGCAAGCAAGTCGGCGAGGAAATTCGTCACTCTTTACCAGCATACAACAAAAACAAGTTTATGCAGGAACACAACCCGAACGAGTCGCTCGCAGACACAACACGTCAGCTTCGCGTGTATCGCTAAAATAATATATGTGCATTCTCTTAAGCGCCGTACACGGGATATAGAAAATTACAGGCGCGTTATTAATTATTCTCGGCGCTAATTGCCTGCGGCATTCGATACGGAGTCGGTGCGTCGTTTTACATCATATGTGCCGCCGTATATATATATTTTTTCGATAAACACGCTTGGCTCAATTTCACGATTCTATTTAATCTTTATGCTCCCGTCGTTTCGTAATTTACAGACAATGATCTTATACACGCCTCCTCGCGCGCGTATATATATACGTCGCAATTCTAAAATTATTATACGCGGCCGACGTTGACCGCGCGGTTCGGTGTGGCCACTTCGCGTGGTTTCGCATAAAACGCACCGGTGAATTGGAACGGCGCGCGGCGGCGATGATCGCGATCGGCGACTCACCTAGGAGGTAATTGCGAATGGTTTTCACCCACGAGGCGACCTGCCTGGGATCCGTGTGGCTCATCGTCACGCTGTGATGTCTCCATTTGTTCTTGGGTCCGCGTACGGCGTAGTGCAGGATGAAATTCGTCGGGCACACCGTCGTCGGCGAGGTCGGCTGCGTCGGCTGCTTCTCCTTAACGCTCACACCCGGTATCCAGTCGTCGCCGTAGCGCACCGCCAGAACGTCCGTCAAGGGCAGGGTCCATCTGGCTGGAGGGGAACAACGAGGGGATTATCAGGGTGGTTTACACGAGAACGAATTTATCGAAGCCGATAAATTCCGTTCGCTGATGTTTGATTAAAAACCGATCTGCATGACCTTTTTTTTCTTTTCTCTCAACGCGACTGTAAAACAGATCGTTTAAGGGGGTATTCTGGTTTGAAAGGTCGTAATTTTGTAGGAAAACGAAAAAGCGAATAACGTTAAACTTTGCATGTTCTTTTAGCTTTATTTTTTAACAGGATATAACATTAAAAAATAGCGTTTTTTGTTACTTAAAAAATATATTTTTAAAATAAGGCTGAAAGAACGTGCAAAGTTCAACGTTATTCGCTTTCTTCGTTTCTCTAAAAAAATTCCTGAAAAATACATTTTTAATCTTTCAAATCAGAATACCCTCTTGAAACAGTGGACATTTAACGCGAACGACGACGGAGTTTTGACATGATAAATGTCAACGAACGTTGCGTTTGGCGAACGTTTATAGCTCGACCGCACGTAGGCACGTGCATAATGTATATACCAGCAACTTTTATTTAGATAATTATCGTTAACGGGCTCGATAAGGTGGCTTAAATTTGGTCCGGCCTTATTTATTAATTTAGTCCTCTGAGGGAACACTTTACGTTTGACATTGAATGCTGATCTATTAATTCATCATTTTATCTACCGTGTCTATCAATGTTGCATAAGCTCAATTTATTTTTGCATCAGGATCATAACTTTATCAGGTCCTACAGTGTTATTGCTCTATATCACGTATGCATATTGTATATTATTTTATTATATTGCAGGAATAAAAAGCCGGTTATCCGGCGGACGTGAACCGCAGAGAACGGCACTCGACGCGCACGTAAGACGTTGCGCAACATTTCCATTTTTACCGAGTTACGCGCTATCAGAGAGCAGGTGCACGCGCTTGCACGCCAGGATGCAAGAAGGTAACGGGCCAGACTATTATTCCATG